CAAATTGCAATTTTCCTTAAATGAAATAGAGGATCAGAAATCTTAGACTTAATTACTGAATATCCTAGCACCTTTAGTATTAACTGGAGTTGTTTTGAATTTTTCTTGAGTTATATTATTATGTTTAGAGAACTTAAATATGGAAGTCTAGAAGTTAAATTCTTTATCATAAGTCATATTTTTATGTAGTTGAGGAGTTACTTGAGGATAAATAACATCTAAGTTTGGAGGATTTTGATACACCGAAAATATATGTATTTTTATACCCATATTTTATACTTATTTTTGGTGATATTGCACCTTAATAGTAGATTTATTGTATGACCTTAGAAATAGTATAATTGCATTAATTTTAGTATATCAATATAAGTAGATTATGTAAATTAGATCACAAACTACTGTAACGATAGGATAACATCGATCAGGGGTGTTGATCTTGACTTTTATGACAGTACTACAAAGTATGTGTGGACAATTATCTTTATTTATATTTCTTACTTTACAACGATGCCAAAAGCTTGACTCCGAAGCAAATAAGAGTACAACTATTATATTTAAATATTATGATACTACGCAAATGATACTACGCAAGCTACGCAAGTATACATATCATTATCAAGTAATATAGGACTTTTTGATTAAGCTCTGAATATCGAACCCACAGGGAATGCTACAAATTTTTAATAGAAAATTAGATAACAAACTCTACTTTGAAAAATATTTTTACTCAAACTATAGATGCTATAATAGAAATGAAAGTTTGAATCTTTTTGATAATTTTTTATAATTGAAAATAAAGTAAACAACTAACTAAATTTAACTAGAAATTTGTAAGATGAAGGCAATATAAATAAAATATATTTTTCCTTATCATGAATCAGTAACAAGTATAGGAATTTTGTTGTGGAAGTATTCAAAGTTTGTTGTGTCAAATAGAAGCAATATTATTCTTTACATTTACTAGAGATACTATAAAGAACATTGGCTAATTTAAAGTCTGAATAGTCTTGAAGACAGGTTAGGAAGAAAAGCTACTAGATCTCACTCTAGAGTTCTCTCTTCTCCCTCAACCTAGGGGATAATATCTCGTATCAAGACCTAATACACTAAATCAAATTGGGGGCTTTAGCCTGTCACTCTAAAGTCCTTTAACTCTACACCCTTCAAACTTTATTTTCCTATTTATATGCACTCAACCATATGAATTACATTCTCATCCATACAATCTCATGTGATTCTTACCATTAGTTGACTGAGACAATACCATCTCGAATAGTATATGTTCTCACAGCAAATATTAACATCTTAATTGACCAAATCAAGAAGTAAATGAAGTACAAGGAGTACAATGTTTAAAATCATCACAACTTATTCTGACATTAAAGACCAATACTTCACACAACTTCCATCCAACACTTAATCACTTATCATTTAAAAAAAAAAGATAAAGAAAACTACTCATAATTTATGGAGAAAACACAACAACACATGTTTAATAGTCGAAATTATGTGAACACACAAAAAGTCTAAATTAAAATCAAATATAGTCACAAAAATAAAAATTAATCTCAAATTCCTCTCCACCAAACTCTTGAAGTTCTTTTGAATCTTCTCTTCCTTTCTCTTACAATACTCTACTAACACACTAGATCTCAATTTCTTCTCTCTAAAAGTATCCTAATTAATCTATGAGAGAGGGCGTCGGCGGCTAATTGAGTCTCTTTCAATCATTCAATCCAAGCCTTCTTTTATAATTTTTCAAAAGGTGCATTGGTGTCTCTTCAAATGTGTCCACATTAAATGAATCTTCCAAGAGTTGCCTCCTTTCAATAGCCATTTGAATGTATTTTCATGTCCATTAACTATAAACCATGTTTTCACCAAGAGTTGCTTCAAACACCCCTTCAAAAATTCGTCCAAATTCATTGAATCATCAAATAACTACCTCTGACAATTAAGCGTGAGTTATGCGGTGCTTAGGCGCGATATTCTCTGTTATCCTGACGCTTAAGCGTCAGTCCTGGACGCTTAGCCGACACAATTCTTTTGCACACCTTCTTCATTTTTGCTCCAAATTTAATCATTTTTCACTCCTTTCATCATTTTTCATCCATTCAAATATACGTGAAAGAAAAAAACACGCAAATACCTTCCATTAAAGCGCAATATCCTCAAAAATAGGTATAAAAATATGTACATAAATGATATATATTTTAGATATATCAAATGTGTTAGGTTATTTTTTTACGGTGCTCCCGAGGCAAATATGAATTTTTAGAGTATGAGATAAAAGTAAAGTTGAAGTTATTACATATTATAAATTAAGATTATTTTCATTAAGAAAATGTCATGAACTCATGCATTAGATTATTATAAAATCTTATATAGTGAAATATGAACTTTGGTTTACCGTAGTTTAGAAGTGTGATTGCTCCTGAGTTATCTTTAGATAACTCATTATATTTTTTAATTTTCTTTTAGGTTTTAAGCTTTTGTATAAGAAGAATAGAAGATGGGCTAATATGTACAAAAGGCGAGGTCCGTAACTAGAAATGTAACTTTTATTTGTTAATAAAATGTTGTCCGTTAGTGGTTCTTTCAATTTTTTTTATATTAAACTCTTTGTGATAAAATTAAAAATATAGAAAATTTAATTCTACCATCCAACCATCTAATTCCACCTTGGTTAATGCCAAGTCACAGACCAGATCGTAACATGAACTTTATGTCGTAAGCATTTCAAAAAAGTTTGGGTTTAAGTTACTACATCAATAGTGATTCCCATCCTAATTTTAGGATCTGATGCCAATATATTTTTTTAGTGTTATATTATAAGCCTTCATCTTAAAAAGGATATGATGGAGAAAAGTGATTCATGTAACCGACCCCACTTACTGGGATAAAGGCTTGTTGTTGTTGTATATTATAAGCCTTCAAGTTTCTTAGACATTTTACTTAATCTTGTGTACCTAAATTGTAAGCCCCAAATTTATAAAAGAATAGTTAAAATGTAAATAAATAAAATTTAGATTCAAAAATATTAAAATCTAATATTAGCTAGGATGAAGCACATCTTAACTTTTTAGGATACATTTCTTTCTTTGGCATCTTAGAAAGTGGTATTCTAAATTTGAATCAATCCTACTAAAAATTTCAAGAGATCATTTTTTATCTAAACTTTCAAATCATAAAGACATTAGTTGCTATTCCAATTTTAAAAAAATTAAAAGTTACCACTTTTTGGATTTAAGTAACTATAACGATTTGGCTTTATGGAAAACATATGCTTCAAAATTAAAATAAATCCTAGCTTAATTTAAGTAAAACAAATCTATAAGAACATAAAGCAAATTTTTTGTAACCTCATCTTTATTATTAAATCTATCATAGATGATTTTTTTTTTTTTTTGTTTTTCAAGATACTATATTATTCTTTATATCATATTTAATCAGCTAAAAAATATTAAAATTAAAATCTATTCTTTAATTCACCAAAAAAGTGCACAGATGTTATTATGCTTAAAGATAGTCTATTCCTTTCAAAGACTCTTAATCATGCATAATAATGCTTAAGCTATATAAATCACAATTTAGGCTAACTTAACCCTAATTGATTAACATTAACCATTGGTGCAATTGCTGATAAGGGTTTATTTTGGATCTTAGCAAAAATTTTAATTTAATAAGTTAATTAAATTAGATTTTAATTGTTCAAATGGGTCATATTGACCTATTTAACCTAATGTGGCTAACACTGCTGATCAAATGACTTGGGTTAAATTTGGTTAATGCACTAACATTTTAAGAAAGCTCTACAGTTAAGTATACATGCCATTAATCTGGGGAAATGTTCAAGTTAAAACCACTTTGAAAAAGATAAGTTCCAAACGGGACAAGGAAAATTAATTGGATAAATTTCATCAAACATATGGTCATAGTAAGTTGACCAGGGTTAAATCATGTCCAAGATAACATAAGAAATCTTCATGATCAATTGTTTCAACTAATTTGTTGATTAATATCACTCTAACTCAATTGACCATTTTAAGTTCAATTTGGTCAAATTATATCAAATAAATTTAATTTGTCCAATTAATGGGTTAACTAGTTAATTAAGGCCATAATCTATTTGCGAACATCCTATGGTGATCTCAGGGCTCAAATTAGTAGGACAATTTGATAACCAATTGACCCCATAAAATATTATGTGTTAAACTTAGCTCGTGAACTAATTAAGGGCATAATCTAATTGGTCAAACTAAATGACCATGCCACCAGCCACCAAGCCACCAGCCACCGGCCACCTACCAACATTGCTTGTCGCCGCTTGTTTGTCAACCACCGGTCACCTACCAACATTGCTTGTCGCCGCTTGTTTGTCATTGTCGACTGTTGTCACCAGCCATCCACCTCAGCCGACCTAAGGCCACCTCCCACTACCACCTATCAGGCCCCTTGTCGCCCATATCAAGGACTCAAGTAAAAGTTGTTTTCTATCACAGACCGCACGTTGCCACCAATCAGGCACCGCCACCCATTGCCACCAATCAGGCACCACCACCCATTGCCACCTGCCCGCCCTCCTATCGTACCCTTTCGAGAAAATCGACCGATGTTGTTGCATACAACCGCTCAAGCTTTCATCCCCCATCGGCCACACTACCTGCCAACCACAACCAATTTCACTGCCACTTATTGCCGCCCATTGCGAAGCATATTTTATATTAAGTTTGTTTTTCTTCAAATCAAATTAATGTATAAACTCCTGCATTAACTTTACATCAAACCAAACTGTTTTAAAGCATTCCAAATAAATTACATTCTTTTTTCAGCAAACCAAGAGATGAACAATATGAATTGCAATTTACATAACCAGAATAAAGTTTGCTTTCTTGTGCTTCAGTAATTCAATTTATTTACTAGAATTAGCCCCCAGAGAAAGGAATCCCTGCTTCCAACTTCAGAAAGCGGGATGCTGGCTTGTCCTCTAAGGTTTAATGACAATTTGGCTAGACCTTAAAATAACATTTGTCATGATTATAGAGCTAGTATCACATTAATAAATTGATATTGCAGAATAATAATATAGAGAACTTTGGCAGAGCTAAAGGTATTCTAATATTTATAACTGTCAGCAAGCTCTTCGGATGTCCTTTGGTCCCTCCCTTTCCCCATCTTCTCAATTTTAGAGCAGAAAAAATTATTTGCACAAACTTAGTGATTTTTTTTAGCAGACTACAAAGACTTTTTAACTATAACATAAAGGATAATAAGCATCGGAGATAAAAGGAATACAATATATGGGAAGACTTGCTCCAACACTCTCTCATTCTGCTCCTCGATTGAAGGAGTGTAACTGACCTGATTGTTTACTAATGCTTCGAAGTAATCCTCGTAGCCGGTTTTTATTGGGACGTTTGTGTTTTTCACCTTCATCATTTCCATAGCCTGAAGTGCAATAAACAAGGAAGCTTAAATGTGCTTTGCGGTCTTGTATGATCAAGGAAAGTATCATAAGAAATTTTTCTACAAGCACACAACAGCACAAGACAACATCTTCAAGATCAGTTTCATCATGGCAATATGAAAAAATTCTATTTACCTGAAAACTAAACACGAATTGCCTGGCTTTCTTGCTAACTTCGGCATTCGGATGAGACTTAAGCTTCTCGTACATGAATCTCGCTTCATTTGGCCTACCAAGAATTACTATGAATTAGGCCAAGAAGGAAGCATTGTGCTTATACAATAAATCTTAAAAGTTTTTATTTTATTTCATTTTTTTTGTGTAAGTTCTGTTAAAACAAAAGCTAGCAAGAAATAATTTTAAATTATTATACAACAACGACCCACTTAAAAAAAACAGCTTTCAAAAAGAAGGTACCAGCTGACACATGGTCTTTTATTTGTAACTCCTTTCACCCTGCTATCCAGAGTTTAAGACTAGCAAAGCAAACTTCTTCATGAAAGGAAAGAAAAAATTCTGGAACTTGTACCAATCCTCTCACTGTGTAAATACTAAGGGACTATTTGGGATCATTTTATTTATTTATTTTTTTTTAAAATAAAAAATAGGAAACAAACAAGAAAACAATGTTTGCCTACATGTTTTTTGTTTTATTTCTGTTTTTTACTTTTTGGGAGAACACTTCTGCTTTAAAACTACTAAAAACAGAAAAAACATGTTTTCACGGGTTTTTAAAACACCAAAACAACCCTTCGCCTAGTCCGCAGCTCGCCGCTCGCCGCTGGTCGCCACCTCCCGCCACTGCCTCTCGCCGCCCACCATTGCCGGCCTCCACCGCCAAACC